CATTCCTTCCACTAAGACACAAGCCTCAGCCAGCCCAGGCTGGCCCTGGAGTCACTCACGGGCTACAGGAGGAAGTGGTTCTCTGAGTGTCCGGGGCTTTCCCTGGGCTCGATACTGTGCTGCGTGCCCATCAGGCATTATCTCACTGAGCCCCTGCCGGCCCCCGAGGTGGGTGCTGCATTATGCGCATTGTAAGAACGAGTCCAGTGAGGGTCGATGGGGCGAAGCCCCTTGTGATGGTGAGTAAGGCTGGAGCAGAAAGATTTGGACCAGGCATGTGCGACTCCAGAACCAGACCTAGTGACCACAGGGTCACAGTCCCCCATCCCCGGCGCACCCCATCGCTTACAAGCACTGTCCACTCACGTGAGCCTCATACTCATCCTGGGGGACCGGTGGGGCACGTATTGTTGGTCCCCATCTGACGGATGGAGAAACTGAGGCTCAGAAAAGGATGTGACTTGCCCAAGGTCACGCCGGGAGAGCGGGCAGGGCCCGGACGGGGACCCGGTTCCGGGCGGAGGTCTCCGCGGAGGCACCCCTGGCGCGGGGCCCCGGGGCGGGCGTGAGCACCGTCCCTCCGCAGATGAGGAGCCGGCCTCTCTCCCCCTTTCCGTTCCCAGTATGATGTGTCAGCTGAGTGTAGTGGAGAGTAAAAGCGCGACATTCCCGTCGGAGAGAGCGAGGCACCTGCTGGACGACAGCGTCCTGGAGTCCCGCAGCCCCCGCAGGGGCCTCGCCCCCACCTCGCCCTCCGCTGTCACCAACGGACTCTCCCTAGGTAAGCGCGTCCGGCCGCACGCCGCAGCAGGGGGCCGCGGCCCGGGCGTGTGCTCGTGTCTGTCTGTCGTTGTGCAGCGTCCGGTGGCCCCTCAGCCCCTGCGGCAGTCGCCGGAGCCAGGAAGGCTCCTCCTTCCCGGCCTCCAGGGCTTCACAAAGGGCCCTGGGCCTGTCCTCATCCTTCTGGTGGCCCCGAGCATGGCAGGCAGGGGGAAGGAGCAGCCAGACACACGCCGGAGACCCGCCGTCGTGGGTCGGCAACTGTCAAACCCTGGCTGCTGCCTCCGCAGGACTTCTGTCCCTGGGGGAGCCGCAGGCCCCAGCAGGCAGGACAAAGCTGGGGAAGCCACCCGAGGGCGGCAGCGGATGGGCCACCGGGTTCTCACGTGTGTCCTTGTCGTCACACCGAGGAGTCAGTCAGGGAGGACGAAAAAGTGATCTTCAGGGATGAAGCTGCGTATCTGAGCTTCAGCCGGAAGGGGCGCTCACGCCAGCAGAAGGGGCAGAAACAGAGCCGAGGCCGATAGGGCGGGGGCGCGGTCAGAGCAGAGCAGCCTGAGCCGTGGCCTCAGCTCCGTCCCCCTGGGGCGCCCAGGCTACCTGTCGTTACTGCCCCCGGACAAGCACACTCCCCACTGGCCGTGCCCTTTCCGCATGGCTGTGCTTCTGTAGGCCTTGTGTCTGCGTGTCTGTCTGCTTCCCTTCACTGGCAGCTCTCCTGGGGCCCCTGGTGGGTTTGATCTGGTGAGGCCTGTAGGGTGGAGGGCCCGTGAGCACGGGGAGGAAGGGGTGGGGACGGGGAAAATAGGCAGGAAAATCATGTCCCACATCCCCGTGAAATGAGGCCAGTGTGTGAGGCAATCTCACTCCAGGGGACAGCTCTCTCCCACCCCCAGGAAATCTGCGATAAGGTCTGTGTGTGTCTCTGACTCGGGATGAGGTCATCCCGTTGGGGCCCAGGCAGGGGTGTGCAGCAGCGTGGTTCAGAGGTCTGCCTTACGAGGAGGGTTTTGAGGGCGGTGTGACAGGGAAAGGCTGGCTAAACCAGGGGAGCAGGTCTCGTCTCAGAGACTCTGACACGCTGAGGGCATTAGGGTTCTCCAGAAGGTAGTAGAGCCCGCAGGTCCCCCAGGCTTCTGGTGGGGGACTCCTTCCCTCGGAGCATCCTGTGGAGCGGGGTCGTAAGGCACCAGTGTGGGAAGTGCCGGCCCAGGAGCATTCATCCGGGCGGCAGAACAGCTCCTTTACTCCCTGGGACCTTTCTGAGCTGTGCCTGAGCC